CTGCTACTACTACTCCTGCTGCTGATCCTAGAGACCAAAGGATCTCCAGTTTTTCAGTCTTTCTGGTTCCGCCCTTGCCTTTAACTTCCCTTTGGCAAAGCTTGCCCAGCAAAGCCTCAGTAAAGAAAGGGTCTGATGGGAACAAAATCACAGGAAGTCTCGTTGAGTTTATGCTTGTTCCATGCATCTGGGAAGGGTGCCTTTGGCTGTCGTTCGTGAATTTAAAGTAGATTCCTGATCACGGTGAAGTTTTAACCATGGTTTCGCGGGATAAGGAGAAGCTCCTCTTCTTGGCCTTTTTGTTTTGTTTGCTATCGTGCAAGGCCTTTCGCTGTCGCGAACAGCATACTTGAAGATCAGCTGAGGAGTTCGGCGAGTGGAGCGCGAGCTTGCTCATCAACGTTGACAGAGGAGCTTTAGGGTTTAGGGTTTAGCGTGGTGGGATGGAAGAATTACCCGATCAAGGGGGCGGTTTGTGGTACTGATGGTGAAACCTATTAAAACCTTGCCTGTCCCCCTACGACTATGACAACAGACCACGGGCATCGCAAGCCCAAGGCCTTCACCAGCTCTTGCCCACCTGCAACCACCATCCTTCGACAAAATCCACGTTCTAACAGGGCGAGCTCAGTTTAATACTGTCCGCGTTTGTTTTCATAGTAGAGTATATGCCCAAAAGCATTATTCCATCTATCAAGACCCGTACAGTAGGGTCGTCGAAGTTCCGAACAAGTGAGAAGCAACCCGCGAAACAGAATCCCAGGGGTGCCCTTTGGCCTGCGCCTGGCAGACTTTCACCGCCGGGTAGACCCGCAGAGGCGGGAATGAGTGACGGGGAGTGCGCAAGTCAAGGGAGCAGTGCGAAAGACGAGATGCTGAACCAGGTGGTGCGTGTCGGGTGGTATGGTGCTCGAGGATTCTTCAGAAGTGCGAAGGATGAGGACATCTTGTCTGAATGAGGCCCAGGTCAGGGATATGCTGACAGCAACAGGTCTGATGTAACTGGTGTTCCTAACGGCTTGTCGCAGTCAGTTCAGTATCCTGACTCCCTGTAGGACTGTAGACTTTTGGGCATGTTTTTTGCTTCTGCGTGTGGGAGAACGCAGTTTTTGTGCATCCTATCTGGCAAGTTTCTGACCACGTGCTTGAGAAAGCAGACAAATCCCAAGTCACCATTGATACCCCGCTTGAAAATTGATAGGAGCAGTGCAGTCACGCAATGGCTCCTGTGCACAACTGTGTATCGTTGCTGCTTAGCTTGAGCCATCAGTAGCAAAGTCACATGATGGCTACAGTGGGCTAATTACTAAACCTCGACCCGATCCAATGCGTGCGACAGATGCAGCAGTGGCTGTGGTGACTAAGATGACGAACAAGACGATGATGATGAGGAGGAGGAGGAGAGGAGGAGGAGCATGATGATGAGCGTCATGACCACGACGATGATGATGGTGGTGATGATGATGATGGTGGTGATGATGGTGATGATGATGGTGATGATGATGTTGATGGCGACCATGGTGATGATGACGACGACGACGACGATGATGATGATGAGGAGGAGCAGGAGGAGGAATGGGAGGACTATCACGATGATGATGATCATCATCATCATCGCCATGATGATGCTGATGCTGACGGTGGTGCTGATGATGGTGATCATGGTGTTGATGATGATCAGTGTGAAGAAGAAGATGATGATAATGCCGATGATGATGACGACGATGACCATGGCGATGTTGACGATGACGATGCGAAAGATGACGATGGTGGTGATGAGGAGGATGAGGATGACGACGACGACGACTAAAGTGCTCTGGTGGTGGCGGCGGCGGCGGCGGCGGTGGTGGTGGTGTTGGTGGTGGTGGTGGTGGTGACGGAGCGGTGGTAGTGAAGGTCACCACGACGACAATGAACTAATCATGTTCGTGATCAACTTGGCAATGAAGATGATGAAGTCAAAGACGAGAGGGAGGATGAAGCAGACCGGGAAGTGGACGATGATGAGGAGGAGGGTGACGAGGGATGATGGCTGCTCTGCAAGTTCATTGACTGCAATTACAGATTGCGCCCTTCCACCGTTCCGGAAGAGCTTAGACTCCTGCTCAGGTGCAAGTGCACTGTGCGCAGCAGCCGGATAACGTTGAAGCCACCGGGACGGGACCAAGTCGAAGAGTAAAGCCCACGTGAGCCTCCCCAAAGCCTGTGGTGAGTTGTGGCAGGTGTGTAGAGGAGTTTGCTTTCAGTTGCTGTTTTGGGTCATTGCTGCTGCCTAGGTCTTAGGTGCTATTCGGAGCCGGTTAAGGAGGGAATTGCGGGAGGTCAGAATGTTGTTGTCGAGCCTGGTTGCAAGGATGAACAGGTGTGCGCTTGAGGTGTGGATTTCAGATTTTGGGAGCCGGTGGCGAATGGAATCCAGGAGTATGAGTTGCTGAGCTCTCAAACCATGTGCTTAGTCGAAAGCGAAGCTCTGCTACTCATCGAGCGGGAAGAAGAAATGTCCTGATGTCTCGTGTTGGAGCCGTTGCATAGAGTCATAGAGCCATATCAGAATGTTGAATCAAGCGACAATTTGGAGATCCCGCACGACTGTCGTCATCCTCTTCCCAACTGCCCAGCATGCCCTACATATACCTAGGATCTAGACCTTGCAGTCAAGATGCAACAGTATTTCTACCATCATAGAACACCGAAGCCGTAAACAGAAAACGCCCAAACCCGGAGGCCTTCACAAACGCAAGCAATTTGAGCCCAGGCTCGTGAAGCAAGAGCCGGAACACTGGTGGAACTTGCTTCAGAACTCCTCACCCGGTTAGAATTCTGTCTCAAGAGCCTGGGCCCCTCCGTGCATGTGCAGAGCTGCGCACGGCACAGAGCAGCAGTTGTTGGCTGCAGATCCCATGCAGGCATGTTGTCATCAAGTCACAAACTTGAGCTCTGTGCATGACAACGAAGAGGGCCTTTTGCCTGTATTGCACGGTGGACGTCCGATTCATGGGCCGCAATGGTGATTGCGTCTCATTATAGCTTCCTATGGCATGTCCCATTCTTGTTTGATACGTCTTCGTATTTTCCCAAAGCCTGGCCCGACATGTTTTGCCACCTCTGGCTGCGTAACACCAGGAGTTTGAGGCCACGAGACAAAGTCGTCGGGGAGTCCTTAACGGACCATGCTAGCCCTAACCCCCAGAAGCCTATAGCTGTGAACAGCACGCGACGCCTCTCCGAAGACGAGGAGAGCATCGCTAGGACCGCTAGGATTGGTGCTAGTATTAAAAGTCCCGTATTACAGCATGTTGTACCTTGGCTGTACCAGTCGTCGTATCATGTCCTGAGGAATCATAGCGAACCCTGAAATTTGGTTTCCGCCCATGGCTCGGATTGAGATCACCAGAGACCTCCACGAAAGACGATGGCGCTTTGCGAGGAAAAGAGCAGCAGAGAGTCTTTGAAGAACACTGCAAAGTCTTTTTCGGACTTCGGAGAGTGTCGACGGTAGGTGTAAATCAGTGAAGCGTTTAGGTCCAGGTTTCTCCAGCACATCTCGGTTTTATCAAAGAGACTCCCTCCGTTTTCCTGAGCTAAGGCCCTTCCTCGTTGATGGCTTCTGGATCCTCTGATTCCACGCGAGGGTCTCAGACTCCAAGGCTGAGAGGCAGGGCTCCCATCAATGGGAGCCTAGGGACCCAGGGAAAGAGGGCCTGGGAAGAGTTCCCAGAAGTCTAAGAACCATGAGTCGTCCAAAAAAGGGCCCTTCGTGCAGATCTCGTATATGATGTACATTGAAGGAAGTACCTAAACATTGTAATAGGATTGTATCTGTATATATGTATAAAAAGGCAGGTAACGTAGGTACATATACATACGGGTTTCTATGAGCTTAACTTTACAGCTTTACAGCTAAGGAACCTTAGAGTTGTTCGCTGCAAGCCCTTCTTCCAGGTCTTGCGAGCCCATCAACAGCGGATATGCGGGAACCATCCAGCCACGGCCTGAAAGTGCGTCAGTGGGGAAGGATTCTCCCTAAGATGTGATCCGATGCAACAGTGGGAAGCTTCAGAAACCCAGTGGCGAAGGATCAGTTGCTTCTTCGGCGTCCTCACCGCCAACCCCTCTGGGTGCAGCCTGGCCCTCACGCCAACACTCGCAGAAAGCTATCAACGCCTGGTCCAAGGGACAAGCCCTCTCGGAGGCCCATGTGGCACCTGCAGCCTTGATTTTCGGTGAAACATCGCAATTTGATTTGTGCCTCTTCCTAGACCCTGCATTGAACATGTTTTGCTGTCCATACGATGGTGAACGGTTTGCATTCACGGTGGTGGTAGGCTGATGCTGCTCCTAGTGTAGGGCTGAGCTGCTGCTGCCGCTGGTGGTGGTGGTGGTGGTCGTGGTGGTGCTGTTGCTGTTGCTGCTGCTGCTGCTGCCGCTGCTGCTGCTGCCGCTGATGCTGCTTCTGTTTGTCGGCCACGATGACGATGACGATGCCACAGCGATGATCATGTTGACAGTCGTGGTTCTATGATGACGGGTATGATGATGGTGATGAGGATGAGGAAGAAGACGGTCACGAGGACGACGGCCTGGTGAGGGTGAGGATGAGGATCACAAGCAGGATGCTGAAAATAGTTATAATCTGGATGATGGTGGAGAAAGTGGCCGGCGTGATGATGACCGTTGCGAAGGACCGTAACACGTCTATGGCTTGTGCTTCATATTTCTGCTGTTTGTCTTGTTGACCTGATCGTCTCAGGCCCGAAACCGTGTGCCCAAGGGGACCAGCTGGATGTGACATTGGATGGAGTTGGACGCCCGGGAAGCAGCTACGCACATATAGCAATGTAGAAGTTCGTTGCTGCGCCGATGTGCGCGCGTGTATCTGAATGTGTGTACATACGTGTGTGTCTGTGTGCATGTGTATATCTGTATATATATATACATACATACATACATACATACATACGCATGTGTATATATGTGTACACATATGATGCACAGCACTGCGTGTGTGCATATACTTATCTTGATACATATGCAATAGACTTGTTCAGTGGATACAATCTAATGTGCACACTCGCAGCCAAAACCGAGCACACGCAAGACAATGCAGACAAATGCGACAGCTTTCAGATTTCAGCCGTGCGCAATCGAGCTTGAATTTCCTCTCCAGGAATCTTGCAAGATTCATACTAACTTTAGAGCGATGTTACGTTGGAGATATGAGGAGAGAAGATGTGTTTATCTTTCCCTAATTGTGTTTACAGTCGCAGACGTATGCTACGCGTTGCCCGAGACGGCTACGTCTCTGAACATACAGTAAGATACCACAAAAGCATGCTACTGCCAATTGCTTACATATGTCCTGTGTAATTTCGTTCTTTTACTGGTATGTGTATTTGTCTGTCTGTCTGTCTGTCTGTCTGTCTGTCTGTCTGTCTGAGACTGTCTGTCTGGGTAGGCAGGCAGGCAGGCAGGTAGGCAGGTAAATATGTAAGCACCTGCATGTACTTTTTTGTTATACACATGTACCTGCATATGGCGCGATATGGTAGGTATTTGATGGGTTATTAGGGTTTGGTTTGCCGGTGCATGTCTGCATGTACATGCGTACATCCATACATACACACCACACACTCGAGCGTACACTTGTAATATCGTTGTGCGTGTGTGTGAATATGTGTGTATATGTGTAAATACATAAATATATATATATATATATATACATGCATGTACATGTTTGTTTGTCTTTATGCATACATGAAGTCATGTTTGTATGTATGCATGCATGTATGTATGCATGCATGTATGTATGTATGTATGTATGTATGTCTGTATGTCTGTATGTGTATCTATGTATGTATGCACATGCTGAGCTCGTTGTTCAAAGCTGTCGAATTATCGAAGAGTGGGTTGCAGAGTGTCGCCCTCACGTGAGCAAATCGCGTAGCACCTTGGCAACGGTTTGTGGACGTGAGGTTTACTTTACCGGAGTTTCGGCAACGTTATCGTCAGCCCAGGCTACGAGCACCATTACTCTGGGCCGTGAAGTGAAGTGTCTCGGCTGCATGAAGAAGGAGTGTTCTGCTTCGGGTGCTCGATCCGATGTTCCCCAGCCTGCAACTGTCAACTGGAACGAGGACGAGGTGAGCGGAATGACTCAGTATCGAGTTTTCCCTAGATCCGATTTTGAGTTTGCTCCGTGGGTTCGGTGTTTTCGATTCGTGAACCTGAACCACCGCTGTGCTCTGTTCAGTGGGCAGATTGATAAGGATGCACTTCAGTGAGCTTTCGTCGTTTGCCGCCGGCACTTGCACTCGGCACGCTTCCATCCTGCTGCCGAAATCAGGTCGGGAACATCCACAACAGCTTTCTGTTCGGACGTGAACAGCGTGGGGTCCACAGATGCCGCGTCAGGTCAGAGTGGCAGACAGTCGATGCCTCGTCGTGATAGGAAAAACCACGAGTAGCAGCTACAGAGCTGAAGTCGGGCTGCTAAGAGGGAAGAATGGGTTTGGGATCCCCGAGTTGGAAGGCCCCAACCTCGTGGGCCACCAGAGCTCCAGAGGTTCTCAAATCATAATCTTCAGTTGTGCTGCAAAGCAGCAAGGAGAGTGGATGACAAAGAAGCATCCTCATGCTAACACACCCTGATCATCACAGGCTCCCGGCCCGTATAGCACCCGGCCCAGTCCAGGCTTGGGGTGACAGCTTCACTCTCAGCTGCAACCTGGGTACACTCAGCCTGAGCCCCGGGATGCTGGCGGGCGTTTGGGCTCAGTCAGAGCTTTCACTGCCCAGGATCCAGGCAACTGAGGGCGGTATAGAACGAGAGGAGGAGAAACACGCACTTGCCAGACCTGACGACTTGGCTGCATCCGAATCGGGGCCGGAGAGCTGTGCAGGGTGTGGATACAGGTCTGCACCAGTGCCCTTCGTGTCGCGCCGAGGCTTCGATGTCTCCAGCTGCCAAGCCGCATGCACCACCTCGGCAACCATGGACGTCACGCTGGCGGACAGCACAGTCTCGGTCCGGGGCTCGATTCTGCAGGGCCTGGGCCTTTGGCTTGGCCATCGGATAAAGTCTTATACGTACGAACTAAATTACATTGAATTAAACTAAATGTAAATTAAGGTAAAATATACTATGTTATATTATGTTATGTTATAACCGTATATTGTATTGTATTATGTTGTATTATGTGATATGATATCATATTACATTACATATTATACTAGAAAATACTATACTATACTGTACTACTGTACCATTTACTATACATTAGTTTATACTATATTATGCTATACTATATATATTTTATTACGTTACATTATGTTATGTTATACTATATTATATTTTCTATTCCATTACATACTTTACAGTGTACTGCCTTATCTTATCTTCTCTTACGTTATCTTATATTGTACTATATTATATTATACTATATTATATTATGTTATTTCATATTATACTATATGATATGATACTAGATTGTAGTATATTATAGTATATCGTATTCTATTACTTACACACACACACATATATATATAGATATATACATGGTATTATACGTATGTGTAAATATATATATATATGCAATATGTATATATATATATA